GAATTGTTTGAAGCAACTTTTGTATTCTGTAAAAACTAAATCATGATAACCTTTTGAATATTTGTCGTAAACTTTGTCTTTCACACAGCTACAGCCCGTTAGACATTTTCTGCTGTTATCAGATCTGAACAAAATTCTGGTACAGTTTTTCATGTTAACTTGCATAAATTTTCGATCGCATTTCTCGTTATATTTTTTCTTTGCTAAGCTGTAGAGATTTTGTTTAAAGAAGGATCGGATAGTTTTATGGTTTCTGCAACGATCCGTCAGGAATAAATCTTTTCCATATTGTTCTCATGAAAAAACTTTTCGTTTTTTTTAAATGCTAAACGTTTACACAATTCAGTTGAATTTACAGCGATTATAAAAACATTTTCAAATTCTGCTTACTGTTCAAAGTTAGAACACAAATCACTTTTTGTTTTTGGTGACATAATCAGCAATAAAGTACAATTTTTCGTTTAAATTCTGTCACATATTCAGATGTTGTTGTCAAACGTCTGTTTTTTTTCTTGGAAGTTCTAAATGTATGCAGTATGGAAGTATTATTATAATGTAACTAAAAACGAAAACCAGTAAGTTTAATGCGAGAATGGTTAAGAGAAAAAACGTGAAAAATTTCTTGTATTGTACTGGTAATTGATAAATGTATACCGAAATAAAATATCAGTAATTTAGCGTATGTAAGTAAAGTAGTGAAAGTTGGTGTTGATAGACGGTTGAGACAGAAATTATAAAAATAGAATTTTGATTTTACAGTTATATATGTTGAAAAATGATACTAAGTAGCTAAGCTCAAAAAAAAGATTGTAGATTATTATATAAGCTAAACCGTTTTTCTTATGTCTGAAACTGTAGAAACTAATCTAGAAAAGAAAAATTTTAATTTTTGAGGCAGAAATATACCTGAACGATTTGTTAGTATTTAGGTCATATGTCTGAATCAAACAAATCAATGATTAAATTCAAATGTTTTTTTTGCTTCTTCAATATTATCTTCTTTTTCTTTTCCAGTTTTGAATTGTAATGCAACGACCAAAAGACCAGAAAATTATTAATATCTTTATCTTTTTGCTTTGTTTTTTTTTCTTTTATTTTTTCTTACATATAAGTGACAAAAAATTGATTAAAGAAAAGGAAACAATAATTTGAATAACCAAAAATATTACATATGTGCATTATGAGACAGATGAAAAAATAACAGTTCAAAGGTGAATTTTTTTTAAACAGTTGACAGAGATGAAAAGTTAAAAATAGACCCTAAAGAAATTTTTTCTTAATGATCACATATGCAACTATGTTACATAATAAAAATAATAATTTACTAATTATAAAAATGCCTAGCAAAAAGAAAAAAAATTAAAATTTTGATGAATTAATCATACACTCTTTTTTCTTTTGTTGTCGATGTTGTTACTGCTATGAATGATTGCATTATCACAGATTGCAGAATCACTATGGATAGGTATTGGGTGAAGTAGGTTGATAATTTGGAGAAGCATAGGTTTGGTAAGTGATATCTTTTGGAGGAATGTACTTAACACCTGTCTTAATATCTTGAGTTTGCACTGTTCCTTGTGATGATCCAAGCTCCGAAAAAATCTCAGTCTGCAATCACATTCACTAATTCTTTCTTTTTTTTCTTCTTTTTGCAACATTTAACTATTACTGATAATTGTAACTATTAAATTTTTGGTTAAAGCTTATTAAGTATTACAATCATTACTTGTTCAGCAGCTAAGCTTCTAAGATCCGTCAATTTCATCAACAGTCGAGCAAACATAGTACGTTGTTTAGGTCGCCGAACATCAATGTACGATTGCAGTGCCGATGTATACACTTCTTGAATGTCTTCAACAGCTTTCGGTTGTAACAGTCCGGGACGATCTACAAAATGCTCATAAATTTTACACTTATATAAAACTGATTTTTTTTAGACTGACAGGGAAAAAGATATATTGTAAAAACCTAAAAGTTTGTTTTTATTCAATTGTACTTTTTTTTTAGAAAAAGAAGAAAGTGAATGTAACACAGAGACGCTTTAACACCATAAAATTTACAAATCTAAACAAAAATAAACTGCTTACTTTAAGTTAGCAAAGTAAAAAAAAAAAGATTTTTTTTGGATACAGTACTGCCATAATAAAAGTTTTACCGTAATCTAATATTTACAGATTTATCTTATTCAATCGGTCTTATTGCTAAGCCAAAATCTTTCAAGATTTTGAGATATAAATTTCAAAAGCTTTATTAACAAATATGAAAGTGAGAGCAACAAAGAACCAGATCTTACTAAATTCTGAAAGGAAATTTCTGCATATAGTTTACCTGAAAAAATGGCAATAGCTGTAAGTAAAGAAAATTCAGCACTGTCTAACTGTAGTTTTGACATGGAATGAGCAAAATCGAATATAGAATCAGCAAGAGGTCCAATAAATTCGCGATACTGTTCTCTGTCGAATCGCCACTGTTTTAGCTCATTACCCAGTACCACTTTTTCTTCACATGCATCATAGCAACGCGATGTTCGTAACATAAGTACTTCTGTTTTACAAGTCTAAAAATGTAGATTTATTGAAAAGTTTTGTTAACATAATACACAGTACAGTTTATAAATATTTTGTAAAAAAAACCTTTTGTTAATTGCATCACATAGAATATGTAAAGAAAAAAAAA